TACTAGCGACCCGCCCCGGCTTCGCACGGGTGCAATATGCATGTATTATACATACAAACCTTCCTTAAGAATCACTCTATCTATTAAAAAAAACCGCATCAAAATCCGTTGCGTAGTTTTAAAGATCTAAGCATACATACGGACATACAGCGAAAGCGACTTTGTTTTATACTATGTATTGATTATATATTCTGTTAAATAAGTGCTGCTACTCAACTAAAGATTTTCTCGATGACAAAAATTGCAAAAACATTGTTGTGGAATAGTACATAATTATATACACAATACAACCTTTAGGTAATAATTATAGATGTAGTTAATTGTAGTGTGTAACTAGGTTCCCTCTTTACTTTATAAAAATTGACTAGATGTATTATAATAAAAAAAAACTGTATGACAAGGGCACGGATCTAGAGTCCGTGGAGAATTAATCTATAATATTATTTATAAAACTGACTGCACGGTTGGTGCGGTGGCTGGGCAACTGGCTGCCGTGCAACGTGTCGCGGGTTCGATTCCCGCACGAGACAACACTTTGTGTGATCCACAAATTGTTGTTTCGGGTCTGGGTGTCATTGTGTATGTGAACTTGTATGTTTGTAAACGCAACCACGACACAGGAGAAAATCCTAGTGTGGGGCATCGTTTAAAAAAAAATAGTATTTATAAATATATAAGTAGTAAGTGCAATATTTGTACACCGATTCGGTAGAATGTATGAGACATTAATTAAGATAAAACACCGATTGTAACTACATTCTGACAAATAAATTTTTCTTTCTTTCCGTCAGTGACTTCTCGAGAAGACATAGGACGATTTTCTCAGCTCCCCCTCACTAAAAAAACTGTTGTTTCTTACGCACGTATGTTTTATATTTATCATAAACTATCAGTAAGAATAACTTTGGCAAAGAGATTGATTACTTTGCTAAACATAATATTATTATCACCTAATATTATCTACCGTTTATTTCCCAAAGGGGTAGGCAGAGGTGCACATTACGGCTCTGCCGCTGTACAATGTAACACCCACTTTTCACTATTTATGTTATGAGTGTAGTAGTTACCCACTAGATTAGTAGTTTGTTTAGTTGTTTTTAAGGAAAATAGAAATAAAATAACTTGTACAAATTATAAAGTTTTAATTTTAATAAAATAAATAACTTAAATATAACATCACATCCTTATTTCATATAATTGATATACACCTCGTATTACTCGACATGGTAGACAGAATTTGTATTCAAGTATTGGTACTACAATACACTACGTTTTTTTTTCATTTATATTATACATCGTGAAATCTATTTCGTTTTCGTCCTGTGGCAAAACAACTTGCTATAAGGAGTATCGACATGTTCAACATGAATAGTTCTTCATGAAAAAAATGCTGTTTCAAAAACAGTGCTATAACCAATTTAATTTCTTAGAACGACTTGAATAATAGGAGGAGGTATCTTAAAGGTTTCTATTGTATATTTGCTCACCAAATTGCATTAATGTGAACCCCTCATTCTTAGTCCATGAGGAAATTAGCTAAGGTTCATTGGACGTTCAATAATTGACTTGGTTGATTAGACAGAAAAGTTTCTTCCTAGATTTACGTCTTGTGGTGAGCAAAAATCGGGTTACCATTGAATCGTATATGATCGCTGTGTTTCGTCATTTCTTTACCAAAATGGCTCAGTACCTATAACCCAAACTTTTAGCTATAACATAAGTCGTTCCGCCATCTTTAAAACTGTCTTCCTTTAATTCTTCTTTCACCTCATTCGCCTCTTCAGAAGATTGTTCATGTTCGTTTTCTTCTGGTTTATAAGCAGTCCCGTATTTAGCAACTTTAGATTTCGCGAACAATGTTTCAATATTTTTATCTTCTGCTGTATTTAAACCATTCTTCTTTACTTCTGTGTGTTTCGCCGGAGAAAATGTGGAAGTTTTTGGATTGTCATCTCTATTATAATAAGCTCCAGGGTTCACTTCAGCTATTTCTACTTTTCTTGTTTCAAAATCTGGAGCTTCTAGCAGTGGGGGAGTACGGAATTGTACTATATCTTCTTTAGGGCGTATATTTTCTAAGCCATCGTACTTTTTGTTATGATTATATTCTTTTGTGATGTGTCCAGGTAATCCAAATCCTTCTGGATTGTTCTTATCTATAGTGTAATAGTATTTAGTGTCACCCAAATGTTGGACATACACTTCTTTGTTATTAGCTGTGTAAGCTGCATTATCAGTAAAAAGTGGGTAATAATCGTCTATGTAACCGTCATAGTAATTAAGAAATGGTTCATCTGTTTCTGAATCTTTAGTTTCTGTATCTATAAAATCTTTGTCTGGTAATTTCGCTTTATCATCTATTGGTGTATCAATTAAATTTAAGCTTTCGGGTTCAGTAGTTGAGTTGTTATTTGCTTGTGCTATATCGTTCATTTGTGACGGGCTTTCCGATGTTTCATTTATATTAGAGTTAACGGGACTTGGTGGAGTTATTTTATCATTAGCAGTTACAGTTGAATTTTTGTTATTAACAGTGGTTTTTCTTTGAGTTTTTCTTGTGTTTTTCGGCTTTTTCTTACTCACATTTCGAGGCTCATTTGTAGGATTATTAGCGTTTAGCATGTTTTTATAAATATTCTCATAATTTGCTAAGAAATTGGTCATAGATGGGTTGTTGTATAAATGTTGGAAAGTTTTAAAACTAAAAGAATTTGGGAAATTGTCAACTACATTTGTCACAGGCTTTTGTATATCGATATTTTCTTGTTTCAAGTTCCTTGGTAGTCTGCATTCTTCAGTAATACCTTCGCAGAGACTGGCTAAGTTTAGATCATCGTTGATTACTCTTAATTGCGGTAACTGTTGTTCCAAATTCACTGTGTCTGTAGTATTTGCGTCTGATTTAGGTTTCTTCTTATGCCTTCTTCTCGGCTTAGGGTTTTCAGTAGTAACTTCTTCAGTATTTGTTTCATTATCTTTGTTTTTCCGTTTTTTAGGTCTATTAGTGTTCTTTTTCTCTAAATTCTCATTGTTATCAGCTTGGTTTTCTTTGGGAGGATCTTGTTTAGGTCTTTTAGAGCGCTTTTTTGATCTTTTGTTGGTTTCTTTGTTATTATCTTCTGTGTCATTATGATTATTATTATTTATATTCTCTTCTGGTTTTTTTTTAGATTTAGAATTCTTTCTCCTTTTATGTTTCCTACGTTTTCCTTCAGTTTCTATAATAGAATCATTATCTTTATCCCTATTAGTATCAGTATTAACATCATTATTCAAACGTCCATAATCTGTAGTCGAAGCTTCGTAATTATTTCTCAGTAATGTTTCAATCGGATTATTGTTACAATCAATGGAATTTGTACCATATCCCTTTGAGTTATATTCGAAAATCGTCTGCAAGGATGGGCTTGATAGGATTCTGTTCAATAAAATCTGTCTAATGTTGAAAGGTTGTAAGTTATCTTGCGTTATCGGGTATTGGGCTGTATTTATTTGAAAATAGGGGTTGTTTTCGGCTGGTGTGTTGGCTGGGAGGGTTGTGTATATATTTTGGTAGTTTGATACCTCGTGCGGTTGGAAGCCGTTGTTGGATGATACCTAGAAAAAAAACATGATTGATTATCATATTTCTATTGCGAAAGAATAAGAATTACTTTTAGATATATTGTTAGCGATAAAGAGTAAGTAGTAATGTGAGGGAGAGCCGTGCTTTTACACGAATGGGCCGGCTCAATCGGAGTGATACCACGGCCTCACAGTAAACCGACGTAAAACAGCGCTTGCATTGTATTTCGTCGCATGAGTGAGGTTGCCGAAGGCCAAATTACCCTTCCCCAAACCTTGAATCGCCCACAATCCTCAAATTCCTAATCGCCAAAAGGCCAGTAACGCACTTGTAACACCTCTGGTGTTCCAGGTGTTCATGGGTGGCGCCGATTGCTTACCATCAGATGATCCGTCCACGTTTACCGGCTTATCCCATAAAAAATCTATAAATATTGTGTGAAATAGCTACAGTGGCCAGCAAAATTGGCTGGATACCTCAGTGCCTATTTTCCATTGCACGGTAAAGTAATAAAAAAAAAATAGTTCAAGTGTTTGAAAATTAAACTAGATGGCGATAACGCTTCACACGATTTTTTTTTCGATACCTACAATAGACTTTTCTTTGAATAAGTGGCTTATAGCTCTAACCGTGAAATTGCGAAGCAAGGGGTCTTAGGAACGAATACTGGGTCGATGATTTTAAGCTGTTTGGAAATTCTCAGTCATATGTAAGTACCTAGATACAAAGTTTAAAACTAACTGCACGGTTGGGTAACCGACTGCCGCGTAACATGTAGCAGGTTCGTTTCCCGCACGGACCAACTTTTTGTGTGATCCACAAATTGTTGGTCCGGGTCTGTGTGTCATGTGTCAACTTGTATATTTGTAAACGTACCCAGAACACAGAAAAACCTCGTGTGGGGCATTAAAAAAAAGAGAAATGGAACTTAATCGTAATAACAGGCAATTATAACAACCGAGAACCGAACCCAAGATACCTTGCTCAATAGACAAAAAAAATAACAGTAAAATAATAGATATTAGACTCTGAAAAATAAAAAAAATAAATACATACCAACACGACGAATGATAAGGACAAAACTATACTTAAAACCATTGTCCCTTTCTAACATACATTATCCACAAAGACACAGGTTAAAAAATAAGTACAACAATTTAAAAGTCATACGAGTCTATGGTTAACTCATTTGACAGACAAAAATTAAATGACAGTTTAAAAAAAAAAAACAAAAAAAAAACACTGTGATATTAGGTACCAAGAAACTCTTTCCAACAAATACGTGATTTACCAAAACTAAAAGTCTTTTTAAAACATTTCGAATCGATTGTTATCGATACCGAGAGGGAGCATCGATATGATTAATCGATTAGGCACGGCCTTATCTATTCTGTTACTCGATATTATTTACGTAATATGTCATAATAAAACGTAAATATCTTTGACTGGTGTTTTTATATCACTAGATAGATACATTATGATGCAAGATTAACCTGGTGAAGCAATGTTTTTTTTTAAATTGTAAGCTCTATTGGAATCAGCCAACGTAGCAAAGGCTAAGGCGTCATGCACACATAAATGTCCTACAGTCGGTGGCGCTGTGTGTTGGGTTGTTCCGTTCCCAATAAAAAGGTTGACCGGACCAATTGCTGACACACACGTCATACTCGTGAACGGGTGCCTTCTGCTGGGTCAGGTCGGCTCTCCCACCGTGTTGGTGGGCTGTTTTCATATAGCCGTCGAAATAGATTTAAATGGATAATCCTAGCTAATTATTATACAATTTATTCCTTTAGTAATAATTAGAGATGTGGTTAATTGTAGTGTGTAACTAGGTACTTTTTTAATATTGATTAGACGTATTGTAATAAAAAAATGTATATGACAAGGGCACGGACCAAGAGTCCGTGGAGAATTAATGTATAAAATTATTAAAAAATATATCTAATTACTCTTCCCGTGGTATTATAGATGCTACAATGGAATTGGAATGATGACAGGGTATGAAAATTAAAAATCTAATTAGTCCGTCAGTTAGATATTGAAAAAATATTAGTTTTACACGTATTTTTTTTATTTTGTCATATAATAAAACAATACTTAGATAAAGCTAATCAAAGTTTAGGAGTGGGGGCTAAAACGTCATTTCAGCATATAAAATGTATATAGAAGTGACGTCACGGGACATTTCAAATCAATATATCGTCGAAAGTATTCGTTTCTGTAAGAAAATAAAAAATACGTGTAATGATTTAAAATAATTAGTTAATGTTCTGCTAAAGATACATAGCATGCAAACTTACAGCCCGGATAAACGTTATACCTACATAAATAACTTTACGCCTGTCTCCCATAGGGGTAGGCAGAGACTATGGAACGCCAATTACTACGATTCCTATATACTTCTTTCGCTTCATGAACAATCATCAATCTTTTCATGCATGCTCGTCGGTTACGGGTACTTTTAATTTGGCCCTTCTTTAATATATTGCCAATCTGGTCAGTATATCCGTCTAGGGCGCCCTCTACCGACGACGGCCCCATTCATCTGTATACATCTTTCGTTACTCTACTTTCATCCATACTTTGTACATGTTAACCAGTATAAGGCTGCCTGTCCATTGACGCGGAGAGGGGCAACGGAGCGGACAAACGAAGAAATATTAACCAATAGGGTTGCATGAAATCTCCGCTACGCTTTAGTGGAAAAGGATTTGCGAGCTAGTTAGTTTAAAACTTCATTTTCGGAAGCGACGCGTGGTAGAGGTGCGACGTAGCGGGGCGGGGGTGTGGGATATTGGGATAGTATAGTATACCGCTGAAATTTTACCAGAGTGCCAAGCACGAATAACTATCGCATTCGCAACATAATAGCATCGAGCGCGTTCGGCGCTTTGATTGGCCGGCTCAAGTGAACCAACCAATCAGAACGCTTAACTCGCTCGATACTGTTACGATACGAATGCGATAGTTATTCGTGCTTGGCACTCTGTACGTACCTGCGCTTTGTTGTAACGAATAGTTTTGAAAAATGGATGAAAGACTCATCGAGAGCGTAAAAAAGTAATATTACGTAAAAGGAGTAGTATTTTTCGTAATATTTTGCGTATGACTGAACTGAACGCTCGCCGCTCTCCACTCAAATGACTCGTTGCATAAACTCGGCCAATCTCCGCACAGACGCGGTGTGGTTAAATCTGACACTCGCTCTCGCCTCTTCCAAAGACATGCCATGCCATGCCATGCCGTGCCGTTCCGTGCCGTGCCGTGCCATACTACGACAAGCAACGCCATCTAATGCGATGCAACGCCATGCAATGCCATGAAATGCCAAGTAATGCCAGGCAATGCAATACCATGCAATGTCAAGGAACGTAACGCAATACCATGCAACGCCATACAATACCATGAAATGTCATGCAATACCACACAATGCCATGCAATGTCAACCAATGCCATGCGATGTCAAGCAATGCCATGCAATGTCAAGCATTGCCATGCCGAACCATGATATGTTATGCTATGTACAAACTCGACCTCTGATCATAGAAAAACAACTATTGAAATCAAATATCCTGCTAACGCTAGTCACTTATAACTGTGATCTCAGAGTCAAAAGAAATCGGATTAAAGAAAACAAGGTAAAGATTATCAAACAAACATTTATTTAACACGGTAAAACAACAAACAAATACAATTAGACCAACAACTTCTCCAACTCGACAACGATACTTGTAATCAATTTTATAAGGGAGCTCAACAATCCACTTCCATCCGTCAACCCGCTGAGCAGGTTCAACACTAAATTGAGTACTTGTGAAACTAACCCTAACAAAAGTCCCGGAGCAGCTAAAACGTTAGAGCGAAACAGCGATATCAAAACACTGATGTACAAGAAAAGGACAGATGCTAAATCTGTCAACGTCGCATACAACAGGGGTAAAGTGCATCCGAAGTATGGCAACAACGCAGGTGTCAAATTTTGAACTATATTTGACAGATTGTTGAGATTGTTTATCAAGTTGATTAGGAATGGTATTAGAAGACATGCCAGTTGGTTGGCGATGGGTAATACGGTTGATATTTCGTCGAAGGCTAGTCGGAGAGCGGTGACTGAGTACGCTGGTATCATTGCTTCGCTTTGACCGATCTGAAATGAAAGTTGTCCAAGTCACGAAAAGAGTATTTAAAGTTTACATAACGTCATAACATCACGTCTTTTATCCCCGAAGGAGTAATCAGAGGTGCACATTATGCCTCTCTTCAATGTAACACCCACTTTTCACTATTTATGTTATGAGTCGCATGTAATAGGGGGTGAGCTTATTGCCATTTACCGGGCACTATTCCAGACTACGTGCAACTACTGCGATTTTTTCAAAAACCCAGTATTACTTTGCCCGGCCCAGGAATTGAATCCAAGACCCCTTGCCCGGCAGTCGCACTTGCGACCACTCGTTCAAAGAGTATTTTTTTTAATGGGGGAGAATCATCGAATGACTGCTCCCGCCTGGGTGAGGCGGGAGGGAGTGTCAGACTTTTATTGACTAAAAACCACCCCGTTCCTTCTCCTGCACGTCGAGCCGGAGCCCCGGTAACCCGTTAAGTTCTCCGCGACTCCGAATCGGCATCAGCCCAGTTGGACCCCATCCGTGGTGGTCTGATGGTTCTTTGAGTTCAAAGAGTCTAGTATAATTATGTAATTTAAAGTTTACAGTCTTCAAATATTGAGCACGCGATTGGTTATATACTTGTGTCTTATGTATTTATGACAAATTTTGACCCCCAATTACATGAGACATTAAACATTGATTGTGTTATTAGTATATATGGTTAAAAGTGGGCATTAAAATATAAAAATACACGTTGCACGGAAAAAATTGTATGTTTGCGTACTCCTTTAAAGATTTTAGGTTTTAACAACGCTTATTCACCTTGCAAAGCCAGAATGAGCTACATTAATTGATCATCTATAACTTTAAACAATAGAAAAATAATAAAGGGGTATATACTAACCAGAACAGCTGCAGACAACGCAAAAACAATCAAAGTGGCACGCATTTTGAACGTCTACACAAATAAAATTAATATTCAATAATGTTTGTCTATCCATAATTATTTTGTCCTTATAAACAGTCTGTTATCAAAACACAAATGCTATGTGCAATTATTGTTACTTAATTATTTTATAATTTTTTATATGTTACATACATTGGTAGGTTCTTATCATTTTAATATGACATGGCGGCGCTATGCAATGACCAGATTTCAGTTGCATTCTTATTGTTATGAGTCCAAAGGGCTTTTTTAATGGGACAAGCCCTCCACAACCTCCCAAAAGCGCTGCAACTACCGTAATCCAGAATCTACAGTAGATACAACCATGCAAACACCGGAACACTGAAGTCTGACGCGTCCTAAGGACATGAATAACTATATAGTCTCGGGTCCCGCAACGAATTTTTTGTAGGGCCGTGGTATCACTCCGGTCGAGCCAGCCCATTCGTGCCGAAGCCTGGCTCTCTTACACTCATCTCTTCTATTCCGTGCAATAGTCCTCCATTCAGATCTGTGTAATGGTATTGATATAATTTAGCTGACGTACGCACCCACGGCACCCATACATCTAATACAGTACATACTAGCTTCTGCCTGCAGCTTCGCCCGCGGTTCCGTAGGAAGGAAAAAGTAGCCTATGTGTTAGTCCAGACCATAATCTATCCCTATTTCAAATTTCATTCCGATCCCTTCAGCCGTTTTGATGTGATTGCGAAATATAGATACACACAAACACAAAAACTCATAAAATTTTACATTTACAATGTAAGTAAGATAAGTTGGATACAAACGCAATTCTGCTGATTCTGTTTTAGATAGATAGATAGATAGACATAACATTAGTTCATCATATCTCGCCAATACTTTAACAAAACTAAATCACAATTTTCAAAAATGATTCTAAGTTAGGACAAACAATCTAAACACAACCCTTGCTAATGATTCCAAATCAAAACAAGACAAACTAAGTTACAATTTCCAATAATCAATAACGACTCCAATTCAAAACAAAAAAAAATAAACTACAATGTTGTTGAATATCAATAATTAAAAAGCGGAGAAATTGAAATAAGTACCTAATTCTTAAATTGAAATCCAGAGTTATTAAATTAAAAATGTCAAAAACAAAAATTTTAGGCTTCAATGAATGAATTACAATGTCAATAGAACAATAATAATCAAATTTCAGATGTCAATAAATCAATTAACAATGTACAAAAAAAAATTATGATGATGCATACGATAGTATGTTATATAACAATTACAAGTTGGAAATCAAGGTTATTGTTACGTAACTGTGTTGTTATAATGTATTAACAGTAAATAAATAATGTAATGTTATTTAAAATAACGCTTACGAATGAAATGTTGAATATTTTTGCATGTTCAACAAATTATATCAAGTTCAAGCAACGAAATGTCATATTAGATGTTGCGAATTCATCCAGAGTACAACAGCTTAGATCGGTTTCATTACAAATTAGATTGAACGTGCAAATTGCTCGCGTCAGTGGCGCCTCCCATAATAAGTTCGACTGCACGGTTGGGCAACTGGCTGCCGTGCAACGTGTCGCGGGTTCGATCCCCGCACGGAACAACTCTTTGTGTGATCCACAAATTGTTGTTCCGGGTCTGGGTGTCATGTGTATGTGAACTTGTATGTTTGTAAACGCACCCACGACACGGGATGAAATCCTAGTGCGGGGCAACTTTTTTTAAAAAGAATAATAAGAATAGTCGCAAGTGCGACTGCCGAGCAAGGGGTCTTGGGTTCGATTCCCGGGACGGGCAAAGTATTACTGGGTTTTTAAAAATCTCAGTAGTAGCACGGAGTCTGGAAATGTGCCCGGTATATGGCAATAGGCTTACCCCCTATTACATGGGAATCATAACATAAATAGTGAAAAGTGGGTGTTACATTGTATAGTGGCATTAAGTGGCGAAATGTGAACCTCTGCCTGCCCCTTCGGGAATAAAAGGCATGATGTTATGTTAAAAAATAAAAAGAAAAACATAAAGGTTGGTCCGACCGCGGGACTCCGCCGAAAGACGCGAAATAAATACAATACAAAACACTCACACCGTCATTTGTTCTACTACTACTTTTTGTTCCTATAATCCTACAAGAACGAGACCTCATCCCACATGGATCAGAAAACAACAACATGTGCTTAAAATCTCATTCGCAAATACCTGAACAATATAATTATGATTAAACGACAGTCATGCAGTGACCTTTGACATATCTTATACTATCATATAAAGTGAAAGAGTTTGTTTTTTTGTTTGTTTGTTTGAACGCGGTAATCTCCGTAACTACAAGTCTGATTTGAATAATTCTATTTGTGTAGGATAGCGCACTTATCGAGGATGGCTATAGGCTATAAAACATCACTCTACGACCAATAGGAGCTGAACAGAGCGTGTGAAACCGCGCGGAAGTGGCTAATATTAGGTATAACTAGCTTCAATTAAATTAACGGTTTCACCCGCGTTAGAGTATGATAAAAAGCAGCTGTTATGTTATTCCAGATTATACTCTACCCCTATTCCAAATTTCATCCCGATCCCTTCAGCCGTTCTGACGTGATTGAGTAAAAGACATACACACAAACACGCAATCACATAAAATTCTGTATTTATAATATTACTAGCGACCCGCCCCGGCTTCGCACGGGTGCAATATCACCGATTCATGGTAGATGTTCCGCCCACACGCACGAAGCGCTTCGCTTCAAGCTTCCTTGTGCGTACTGCTAAAGAGTGGAATTCTTTACCAGAGTCTGTATTTCCTGAAGGGTATAACCTGGGAGTCTTCAAGGCCCGAGTGAATAGGTTGCTTATGGGACGACGTGCTCCAACGTAGACCGCATCATCGCTTACCATCAGGTGTGATAGTGGTCAAACGTCGCCCCATCAACTATAAAAAAAAAACCGCACGGGTGCAATATGCATGTATTATACATATAAACCTTCCTTAAGAAAGATCTCTATCACACACATCACACAACTCTATCTATTAAAAAACCGCATCAAAATCCGTTGCGTTGTTTTAAAGATCTAAGCATACATAGGGACAGACAGACGGCGGACAGCGACTTTGTTTTATAATATGTAGTGATAAAGATATACAATCATGCAATGACCTTTGCCATATAATTAATGGTTCTTCCACGGCCTTCAGAGGTAACTGACCGACATTAGGCGGCTCCCTAAATGATCTGTCATCAAAAACACATTTCGTTATTTGAAGCTTCCATTTTCCTATTAAACCCTCCGCACCTTTTTGGTAATTCCTTTTATTGAAAGTTCATGGTTTTTTGTCACCTACAAAGTAATGTTGCTAATACATATTATAGACTGTCGTCGCGGAGAACCTAACGGGTAACCGGGGCTCCGGCTCGACGTGCAGGAGAAGGAACGGGGTGGTTTTTAGTCAGTAAGGGTCTGACACTCCCTCCCGCCTCACCCAGGCGGGAGCAGTCATTCGATGATATTCCCCCCTTAAAAAAATACATATTATAGACTAGCTTCTGCCCGTGACATCGTAAGCGCAATCCCGTTTTTCCCCGTTCCCGTTCGTGATTTACGGTAAGAAGTAACAAAAAAAGAATTAGGTAGATAAAAAATATCCTATGTCTGTCTCTTGCAGCTGTAGCCAAATGCCATTTAGCAGTTGTAGAATATAAAACCAAATTATATGGGATTGACGTAAATTTTGACACTTGTCAGTGTCATCCCCATACATTTTGATTTCTACTCTCACTGTAGACAAGCGCTAAAGTGGCGTTTGGCTATAAGCACTGGTGTTTTTACGATCGAAACGTCAGCGTTCTCTGCTCAGAGGTCATAGAACGAGTTTGATTTACGTTTAAAGTATTCGAAACGAGTACGCGTTCGGCACGGTTAATTGGTCAGCCCCAATTAACCAACCAATCAGAGCGGCAAACGCGTACTCGTTACGATTTTTTTTTATGGCATAAGACGGTTAACTATCAGACGGATCACCTGATGGTAAGCAATCGGCGTCGCCCATGGACACCTGGAATACCAGGGGTTACAACAAGTGCGTGATCGGCCTTTTGGGAATTAGGAGTTTGAGGATCGTCGGGGATTCAGGGATCGGGGAGATTGAGGAAGGGGAGGGTAATTGGGCCTCCGGTAACCTCACTCACACGACGAAACGCAACGCAAGCGTTGCTTCACGTCAGTTTTCTGCTTGGCCGTAGTATCACTCCGGTCGAGCCGGCCCATTCGTGCCGAAGCATGGCTCTCCCAAACTTAAAGATGACTTTAAGCGTAAAACAAATTCGTACTAAGGCCTCTGATTGGCCGGTTCCAATGAACCAACGAATCAGAGCAACGAACGCTGTAATATTTTGATCTCTGAAGGCTAATAACCGAAAGATTTAATTAACATATTATGTAATTTAATTGTTTCGTCAGGTGTAGCTTATTGTACGGACCTTGTGGAATCTAGAACGAATTTCCTTGCGTTTAGGCGTTTTTGCCATGCCTACTACTATTATTGGAAGCAAGTATAACAGCTCACACATAGGACCCACTTAATTTTTAGTCAAATTTCTGTGGTGCTTGGCGACTGGGCTTCACCCAGTTGTACAGTATCTTCTTTGTGCCTTTAGGCTTCATTCATTCTGTCTCCTGCAGTCATTCACCGAGGGAAGTGGAAACCATAGTTCTTCTTCTCCTCTTATAATATCTTCTGATTCACTTCGTTGCGGGAACCAAGACTCACTCACTCACTTACTCATGTCCCTGGGACGCGCCAGACTTCAGTGTTCCGGTGTTTTCATGGTTGTATTTCCTGTAGATCCTGGCTTACAGGAGTTGCAGCGGTTTTGGGAGGTAGTAGCGGTCTTGTCTCAAAAAAAATATTATGTAAATTCACATAGTAACACAATAACTATGTAAAAGCGAAAATTACGCAAAATAAATTGCTTTACATTCATTTAGTAATAGTTATAACGATAAACATACAAACGATTATATTTATTATCATTATGTATTTGTACATAAAAATGAGGTTAAGTAACAAATATAGTATATAACAGTGTTATTGTAGTTTTAAAAAACATAGTAAATATTGTTTAGGTACAAGGAAACTATTGATTTGTTTAAAATGTCGAAGATTTGTCTAGTTGTCTTGCTTGTGTGTTTTGCTGCTGTGTTGGGATCGGTAAGAAAATATAATTTTAATATACCTAACATTACATTACTTATCGCAACTGTTAATATCCGAAGGAGTAAGTAGAGTTGTACATAATAATATAACACCTACTTTACCCCAGTCATATTACTAGTCCCATGTAGGTTAGACAGGCTAAAAGATTTCTTTTTTTAATTTTTTAGCCTTTTTCCTGGGAAGATTAAAAAAAAATCCGCTAGGGGTAGCACCGGTGGGGGGGTTCAAACGTGTAGAATTAAAGAATTAAAATGGAATTAACTGAAGATGATGTACCTTTGACGTACGTTTGACGTTGTTGTCAATAGAGAATTCAAAACAAATGTACCCCCCCACCGGTGCTGCCCCTAGCGGATTTTTTTTTAATCTTCCCAGGAAAAAGTCTAATTAAGTACCTACTTGCCTTCATCAAAAAATATATTATTTCGATTATTCAATACAATAATATAATCACACTTTCATTAATTGATTTTGATGACCAAGTTGGTCATTTTTTTTTTATTGAGATTAATTGGAGATCATCGTTTTTTTAAACGGATCATGGTGCTTACTCTTGAAACCAATCTCAATGTCCCTGTAATGTCAATCCAATAAAATCTCAATAATTATTCAATGTCAAAACTATACAACTCCTACCGTAGCTGTTAAAATAGCATTCAGAGCACGGAGTATAAAACCAAACTCAATACCATTTAGTTCATTCAATATCCACGCAATACGTATGCAATGGTTGCTAGTGTTGCAATTCAAGAGTACGAAATTTCACAATATCAATGTCAATCGATCGGAATTGGATTCAAGAGTAAGCCCCCTGGTATATCCAAGATTTTTGCTGCACAATCTCCCTAATCCTTACGACTACTGCGGGGAGGATAAGGGTGGAAACAGACAAATGTGCCTTTATCACACTACTTGTTACAGAGACATAACTTTTTTTTTACAGCAACCGACAACAGCGACAGGCGTGCAACTGCCAGCAGTATACCCACTAGTAAACATACTGCTGCCTTTACTGAACAACGTGTACAATCTACTACTCTCCCTCCTCTCAATCTTCGACACCCTCCCAGCGAACATAAGTTGCATGATTCCCGTTGACCTAAGTGCCTTAGAAACGTCATTACTCAAGCTATACTCCCAAGCCCTAGCAATTGTTAATTTCTTACGATCACTACCTGAATACGCCATTGGAGCGAGTCCAAACACGCCTCCCGCAAATATTGTTAATTTGCAAGGATTGCTGACAACACTGATTTCATCTGTCACCGATTTGACAGATGACGTTTTGACAGGCATCGGCGGCGCGTTGTTGCCAGGATTATTGCAGCTTGTTGTTATGGTTGTACAAGCATTGTTGAGTTTGTTATTGTAATTTTATTTCGTTTTTTAGTTATGTGAATAAAGGATTTTTTTGTTATTGTATAGATTTTGTTTTATTGCACATAATTAAGAGCTACGCTAATAGAGGCATCGCCAGTACGTTGTCGACTTGGAACAAACAGTATGTTGATCGCTCGCTATTGAGATTTCCGTTAAAATATTTCATTCATTCATTTTATTTTATGTTTTAAAATACCGTCATAACATCATTCCTTTTATACCTCGACAGAGGCGCACACAAAATAATAAGTCTTTAGGAAATGCGTTAAAAATGTAACACTAATCAATAAATAATTGCCTCATTGGCCGAGTGGTCGAAAGTACTACTGCCGGGCAAGGGGTCTCGGGTTCGATTCCCATGTCGGGCAAAGTATTACTGGGTTTGTAAAAAAAGTAAAAACCTCAGTAGTAGCACGGAGTCTGGAATTGTGCCCGGTATATGGCGATAGGCTCACCCCCTATTACATGGGAATCATAACATTAATAGTGAAAAGTGGGTGTTACATTGTACAGCGGCATTAAGTGCCGTAATGTGCACCTCTGCCTACCTCTTCAGGGATAAAAGGCGTGATGTTATGTTAATCAATAAATAAATGACAAATGACAATGCCAGGTGCTCAGTACATCTTTGACCCACTATATTAGAAGTCATGTACAAGTATGCAGTATTCAGCATCGTGTAGTGTATTAATTACCGATACCTAAACATTTGTCCTGAAACCTGTAAAACTTGCGGTTTTTGTTTAAAACACAAAACAATAATGATAAATAACGCGAAAACAACGGAAACGCAGAGAGCGAATGAAAGATAATATTGACACTGACATCTGACAATTGACAAGCGCTTCAAAACGTTTCGTTACACAAAAGGATCATAACTAATGATATCTAATAATCGTTTCTTTTATATTTTCGTGATTTCATCTGTAATTATTAATAAATAAATAAATATTATACATAATTATACTTCTGAAATAATATTTTATGTATAATGATATCTTTTTACAGTTACTTACTTTTTTTATCTTCATAGTTTCGTAGAAGCGATGCGTATGGTGTAACGCAAATAGTCATTAGATAATATGGAAGACGCATTGCAAAAAAGTATTTCCGGGATTGAACTTCTTTTTTTATTAGATTGCAAACCGCAAGTTTAAAAATAAAAAGATTTATTGTGAAAAGGTTCCTTATTCGTCAAAATTATTTTCATCAATTTACTTTTTTTGTAAATGATATTATGACTGGGTCAGGATCTGGCATTGTCATTTAAAAAAAATCCACGTTAAAAAAAAACTACAATGGAAAAAAATAACTATTATTGGTCATACGTTTATAGCTTACACACCCACTGATAGGTTAGAAGTCGGTGCCATTTCCATCATCAGATCCTGATTTCCTTAACATGGGACCATTCTGGGACTATCTCCTTTCCAACAAGAAGATAATTATCAAAATCGGTTCATAAATAACGGAGATATCGGCGAACAAACATAAAAAAGCATATATAAGGTCGAATAGAGAACCTCCTCCTTTTTTTTTAAATAAAAAAAGTACAGATACAGACGACAGATTGAAATCGTACACAACAATCTTAGTTAATTATTATAAGTAGTGAGCGAACCTGAAGTCCAATTACAACTGTACCTACATAATCCATTTATATCAAATTACATAAACAATTCCCAAATGTTAATCCATTTTACTATAATAAATTTTGTTAAATTTTTTTTGAAGTTGGTTGATAAAATGAATTTGAAATTAGAATTCTTACCCGAACAAAAATTATTTTGATTTGAAATTAGCCAGTACTATAGAACGGCAATTTTACATAAGTAAAGACCTAATATTATAAGTGTGAGCTAGTTAACTTTTTTCTAGCACAAAACAAGTTTAATAGGTATTCAGTCATCCATCCAACTTATATCTTCAATCTTGGGTTAACGGGGCTCCGGCTCGAAGTGCAGGAGTAGGAACAGGGTGGTTTTTAGTCAGTAATAAGTCTGACACTCCCTCCCGCCTCACCCAGGCGGGAGATCTTTTGAAAATATTCCCTCCTTAAAAAAAATTACTTCAATCTTCATGTACACACGGCCACACATTAATCTATACAAAACCAGTTTATCCTGGTGTCGCGTCGCATCATCTTTCCGCACATTCAACGTTTAATTTATACTGGTTATGTAAAGCTCGAGGTGTAGCCGTGTTTACATAGGTACCTAGGTAATTTAAAAATAATTTTCCAATTCATAAAACGTACCCATGTAGGTATACGGTCGTAACGACCGAACGCTTTATAGAAAGATAATTCATATATCGTTCGATAACACAATGTTCGTGACTGGCTCGCCAGTCGCCATGCTGATCGCTCCGGTCGGTATGACAACAGAGTTGCCAGATTTTTGGTACATATCGTGCCTCACAGATAATTTACAGATCCAAATTATTTTTTGATTGATTTTCATTCGTGCCGAAGCATGGCTCTCCCACACTTAAAATATTCTTACAGCATTAACCAAAATATACAACAAAGACATTTACAACACAATAGAAATGCACAGTGAAACTTACCGATGTGTGTGATGTGTTCTCGAGTGAAAGAAGATTATTTTTGTCGGAATGCTTGTAATTCTGCTAAAGAAATGAATGAATGATAGTAACTAATAAAATTTTGTATTTTATTTTTCTTATAATTGTACGTCTATTGAGTAGTGTAATTGGTATTTGTACCATTTTATACAAATAAATAAATAAATAAGATAAAATAGAGTTAGGCATTCATACATTCACGATATAACTTCATGCATTCTTTGAACATTCATTCTTCTTCTACGACTGGTGTAAACATGATTTTACAAAAATATATATTTGTACTAAAGTCAACAAAATGTTGGTAAATATACAATTTTTTTGTTTTAATTGGCAATATAAATATTTCATTATGGATAGCGGCATTTCGCGCTATTTTTACGATCGTTAGCTTACGATGACATTGCTCATATTTATTTTAATTACAACCTAAAGCAAATATAGCCCTTATTGTATTAAAATAGAATTGTAAATTGCTATTGCATGAAATGCAAATAAATATCAAATGGCCGCGGTGTTTCGTAAGGAGTGAAGAAACATTACGATCTTTCAAATCATTCAAAGTTCGTTCAGTTGTCAGATCAGTCGACATTTAACGTCAAAATTGGATGCTTTTCGATTATCGTTATAATTATTATAGTTTTTGTGGTCTAATTGTGTACAAACAGTAATTTTTAAGTGTTAATTTAACTGAACTATAATAGTTTTTGTGTCTAAGTGAATAATTTAATGTAAATAGTGATTATAATAAGAAAAACAAATTGTCGTTATAACGCCGGTGTCCTAATAAAGCTTCAATATGTTTTCAATAAAATAATACCAGGAAGAAAAAAACTCCCATCAAGATAGGGAGAATTTAGTAGATTTTCTTAATTTTTATTTGACTGTTCAAGTTTTGTCCATCACATCTATTTGTATAGGTTTGTAAGATAGTTTATTTGATCAAATAACTATGGAGACCAGAGTTCGTTCCAGTATGATACAATTTGTTACCCTTTTGAAGTTTATGGAAGAGTAAGTACCTTCTTAAGTATATTTTAATAATCTACAGTAATTGACTTCTTTACTTGTGCATTGCCATAATTAAATTTAAATCTTTGTTGGGTACATATTCCTTTATCTTTTTGTAAGTAGTCCATGTAAGATTAACTCGTGGAGTACCTACCGGTTTTGTAGACACAATTATAGAACAATAGGTTGCAGTCACCGGTGACCGCTTGGTGTTTGACAGTTTAAAATGTTCAAAATCATCCTCTAAATTTGTTCATACAAAAGTAGTCTAAAACATTGGAAATAAGGTCTATAATGTAGTTAGTGGAGAGTGGTCACCGGTGACCGCTTGGGGATATATGGGTTAAAACTTGAATATTCAATAATGGAATGGGATGACAGATACAAAATATTATCGTGAAATACATGGGACATAAAGGCTTTGTGTACTTGTAACACTAAGTTTATTAACTTGTTGAGTATCGTCATTGTAGACACAATTAAAGAACAATAGGTTGCGGTCACCGGTGTCCTCGTGGTGTTTGACAGTTTGCTCAAAACTTGCTCATTCAAAAGTAGTCTCTATACCTCGGAAATAAGGTCCATAATGAAGTTTGTGGGGAGAGAGTGGTCTTAATCAGAACTTGAAATTAGTTAAGTACTGTGTACAAGTTTCCTTTAATTTTTATTATGTACCTACCTGGGCTCTTAGTATGTTCTAGTTTTTAATACAATATTTAATATAAGTAGTCTGCCTCATTGTCCGAGTGGTTGCAAGTAAACTGCCGGGCAACGGGAAACCCCTTGGTTAGGGCTAAGTACTACAGGATTTTTTAAAATTCTCAGTAGTAGCATGGAGTCCGGAATTGTGCCTGGTATATGGCAATAGACTCACCCCCTATTACATGGGACTCATAACATAAATAGTGGAAAGTGGGTGTTACATAGTACAGTGGCATAATATGCATCTCTGCTTACCCCTTCGAGGATAAAAGGTGTGATGTTATGTATGTATGTATGTACATTATTTAATTTGAAAACACCTTAATTTTTGTTTTACTAACAATACTGTTCAAGTAAGCAATCTAGATTTAAACTGAATAGATAGTCAGTTACTCGATGAGTGCCGTCATTATAGACACAATTATAGAACAATAGGTTGCGGTCATCGGTGACCGCTCGGTGTTTGACAGTTTAAATTGAAGTTTAAATTTAAATATTCAAGTTAACATAGGTTATAACTCAATGCCATATATATTTTAAAATATAATAACAAAGTTATAATAATAGGTACTTGTAAAAAGATAATAAAACATATTTTTTTACGGCTTAACTCGTCGAGTACCGGTTTTGCAGACACAATTATAGAACAATAGGTTGCGGTCACCGGTGACCGCTTGGTATTTGACAGTTTAATGGTACGTTTCTTCTTTATTTATGGTATACTAGCAACCCGCCCCGGCTTCGCAGGGGTGCAATATGCATGTATTATACATACAAACCTTCCTTAAGAATCACTCTATCTATTAAAAAAAACCGCATCAAAATCCGTTGCGTAGTTTTAAAGATCTAAGCATACATAGGGACAGACAGACGGCGGATAGCGACTTTGTTTAATACTATGTATTGATTGATTAATACTTGTATGCCAAGCAAGGTGAAACATACTGTAACTAAACCTGTTATTAACTTATGAACATCTATGTAACAAATAAATAAATGATTATGATTATTATGACTGATTTTTCTATCAACAGCTTTTTTTTATTCGCAAAATTTAATTTTAGGAGAGAGTATAGTTCCCTAAAATCTGGAAGGAGGATTCTCCGACCAGGCGAGGTGATCGTGCCTGGCGGGCTTTCTGCCCAACAGTTGTAATCGAACATTTTTCAATCAACCTTTGCTGGTCATCTATTTTCTTATTTTGTGCTTCTATGGTGGCAGATTGAGCACTAATTTTAGATGTCAATGTTGTTAGCTTCTTTGATAACTCAATAAATGCCGTTTCCACGTTAAATTTGGACATTTTTACCAATAAATATCAATAGAAATAATAATGAATGTTAGCGTACAGTTTGACAGAATTCTCAGAAACACGTTATTCGTTGTTCGTTGGGATTTTCTATCCGTGTAAATTCGCATGTAAACTTCACATGTGCGATGTAGGATTCTTGTGACGTCATCCGTTAAATATACAGGTTAATAAAGTAATCTGGTGTTGGTAAATCAGCTCTAAACTAAATAATTCAATGGATGATGGGCAAATATTTATGGAAAATGTACTTACCAACCAATAACGACCAGACATATGGAGGTAGAAAGCTCTTTTCATGACTATCACGTGTTATAATGGGGCTAGGAGAACCTAACGGATAACCGGGGCTCCAATTCGACGTGCAGGAGAAGGAATGGGGTGGTTTTTAGTCAGTAAGAGTCTGACACTCCCTCCCGCCTCACCCAGGCGGGAGCAGTCATTCGATGATTTTCCCCCTTAAAAAAAAAACACATTATATAGGGTGAAATTTTGTACTGCCACCTGAAGGAGAAGTACTCTTAAACTGTCAAACACCATGAGGACACCGGTGACCACAACCTATTGTCCTTTAATTGTGTCTATAATGACAGTACTCAGAGTTAATACTTAAGATAGAACGTTTTTACTTAAAGAAAACATTCCTTTATTTTTAAAAAGAAAGAAAATATCACTCGAATGTTTTTAAAAATTCGCTTGTCGCACACGGTTATCGAACCGACTAAAATCTGTAAGTTGCAGCCTGTAGTTTTAAGTAACACCCACTTTTCACTATTTATGTTATGAGCCCCATGTAATAGGGGGTGAGCCTATGGCAATAGGCTGGAATTGTGCCAATTCCAGACTCCGTGCTACTACTGAGATTTTTTTAAAAACCCAGTAATACTTTGTACGACACGCGAATCGAACCCCTTGCTCGGCAGTCGCACTTGCGACCACTCGGCCAACGAGGCAGTGATACATAGAGTTATTATTATAGGTATAATATAATTATCTGCCACGGCTTTAATGGGAGATAGTGGGTATACGCGCGCGCTACGTAAAAACGCCTCCCGACAAAATTCAAATCAACAATATCTTGAAATGGTGTAGTGCTACCGCGGGTCACGCGGGTGTAGCTCCATAACTGCACATGCGGTTAATTTGTACCAGAGGTTCGATGTGCGAGTGAGTCATCATACCATCCTGGATGCAGTGTAGGTACCGATTCCACGAACACGGCCGCTTTGACCCGGCAGGCAGGCCTTCATTATCGGCTGATCTCGAAGAGGAAGTGTTAGAGTTCTTTCGGCGTCATCCTCTTGCGAGCACAAGGGATGCTGCCGGAGTTTACGATGTTAGCGACAGTTAAGTACGTGTGGCGTCTTTTAAATCACGCGCAAAATCAAACGCGCATTTAGGCAAGTGAAAGTGAAACGAACACATTAAATAATGTGATTATGACATGTTCGGAAGCGTGCCTTTAATTGTGTGCAACGTGAAGGTGGACTTGTGCAACAGTTTTGTACAGTGCCGCGCGAGACGCTGAGACGAGCGCACGTATTTTATACAGCTAGCTACTTATTTCGTTTATAACTTTTGCAATTACCCACAAATTTTAATTCTTAATTATTCAAATGTTTACTGATAATGGCTGATGAGCCGGACATTCATAGTAATAATGAGTCGAGTGGGAGTGGTTGCATGGAGGAAGATATAATTCAGAACGAGAGTGAAAGACTAGTTATTGTGCATAAAGAAATGGAAAAAAGTATCAGTTTGTCGAATGAGAATCAGAGGGTCACAGAAAAGAAAAAAAGAGAGGATAGTGATGAAATCGTAGAAGATGAGGATGGATTCATAACAGTTAGGAATAAAAAGGTGGCGAAAAGGTCGTCTAGAAAATCGGATAGTGGGGGCAGTCAAACAAATATACGTGTTACCAGTTATACTGTTAGCATGACCGGAAAAGAAACGATATTACCGAAACAATTTGGTTTGGCAAAGTTATTAAGGGCGGAGAATATAGTCAATATTAGTAAGATTAAATATAAAAATGCGTACAAAGCGATACTGGAATTTGAAGACAGAGATAACGCTGAGAACCTAGTCAAGTGTCAAAAATTCCAAAGTCTAGGTTTTAGATGTCAGTTTGTGGATGAAACCAATTTATCGTATGGCGTTGTGAAACAAATAGATTTGGATATAAAAGAAGAAGAAATCCTGCAAAGTGTAGAATGTGACTACGAGGTTATTACGGTAAGAAGATTAAAGAGACTCAGTATTTCGGGAGAATGGGTAGATTGCGAAACAGTCCGTATATGCTTTAAAACTTCAACATTACCCGCATATGTTTATATGTATGGATGTAGGTTCAAAGTAGAACCCTACATGTTTCCTGTCACGCAATGCTCTGGGTGCTGGCGTTTCGGACATTTACTAAAGGCTTGCCCAACAAAAATAATACGTTGCCCGAAATGTGGACATAATCATAATAATTGTGACACGACTGACTTCAAGTGCATTAATTGCAAAGGTTCACATATGGCACTCGACAAATCTTGTCCCGTCTTCATAAAAGAGAAGCGTCTGAGGAAAATTATGTGCGAGAATAATTACACATATCGGCAGGCTTTATTTACATACAGAGAACAAAGCAAGCCTGAGGAAACTGCTCATAATCATCATCCTGGGGAACGTACTTTCAATCAAATTGAGTCAAGGTTTGGTAAAAAATCCTACAGAGATATATTAGTTACACAAACACAAAGAAATATCCATGATTTGAAAGTTCACACGCCACAGATAGACGCCGAGAACACAGGAGATCAAAGTGAGGAGGAATCAACCGAGTCAGTTATTTTGGGCAACTTATTAAGGAAACATAAGAAAAAGAAGAAAAATAAAAAGAAGAAAATATCAAATCTGAGTTATAATATAACACAGGACGATGGGGAAGTTTTTTCAGTGACACAAGAAAATAGTGGAAACAAAGATGAAGCTACGGATTGTAAAATAGATTTCAAGAAACTGTTACATAAGTTGAAAGAAATTATTAAATCGGACTATAGTGTTAAAGTTAAAATTAAATTAGTGTTCAGTTTTATATTTGAAGAATGTTTTCAGTATATTTGGAAGTTAGTTAAGGAGACGGATGTTATAAGCACAATCGGTTCCACACTATATGGCTTGTTTGCGTAAAGATATCAACTTAAACATTATGCAGTGGAATGCACAGAGCTTGAAACCAAAATTAGAGGAGGTAAAATGTTTGTTGTTGCAAGAAAAGGTACACATAGCGTTAATAAGTGAAACATGGTTAGGGGAACAGGAATATCTTAATATTAATCAATACAATATATTCAGACACGATAGAGAGGACTCGTATGGTGGAGTAGTGATAATAACACATTATTCATTAAGTGTTGAGGAAGTTCACTTTAGGGTAAATAATTCTGGCATTGAATTAGTATGCATAAAAATAAACAATTCCAGTTATATTCGACATGTAATTTTAATATATTGCCCGAGTTCTGTACAAACAACACAATCTGATTGGGATAACATTTTTTCTAGGTTTCCTAAAAACTGCTTGATAGCAGGGGACTTCAATGCCCATCATGCGAATTGGTCATATAAAAATGATAATAGAGGTAGACAAATTTTTGAATCGGCTTTAGAGTTTGGTTTTACTTCACTCAACAATGGGCAACCTACTAGATTGAAATTAGTAAATGGTAATTTACAAAGCTCATCGCCTGATGTTACATTAGTATCGGTCGATATTGCTATTTACTTTGATTGGCAGGTTACTAGTGAAAGTCTGGGGAGTGACCACCTATTTGTTAAAGTTAAAGTCAAATATAATGAAGAGGTGTACATAAATATTAGGCGGAACTTTAAATTAGCTGACTGGCAAGGTTACAAAAACACTTTAATTGATGGTTTATCCTTACCTGCAGATGAGACTAACGCTCAAACCATGTATGATCACTTTATTTGTCAGATAAATAATGCGGCCAATTCCAATATTCCGTTAATTAAAGTTTGTAATAATCCAAATAGCAATTTTAGACCAAAAGGTTATTGGAGTCCGGCCATTTCTAAATTAATCGGCGAACGTAGATTAGCCCTAGGTAATTTCAGAAGAAACCCAACACCCGCCAATCTCTCACTACTTGAAGAAAAAATACAAAAATCTAAGCGCGCTATACACGCGGCTAAATCTGCAGATTATCAGAGATTTTGTGATGACATTGATCAGGAGGTGTCAGCGTCTGAAATGTGGCAGCGGCTGAGGTGGGTGAAAGGCTATAAGAGAACCAGAGCTAAATGTTCTCAAGAATTAAAAAAAGAAATGTTACGTGATCTTGCACCTGACTATGTCACACCATCTAGACCATTTTTTACTTCTGAAAATAGACTGTTAGAATCAGACTTTTCACTACAAGAATTGATAAACTGTTTGAAAAAGAAAGATACGGCCCCAGGTGAAGATAAAGTGACTTATTCCATGATCTCACATTTACCATCTATTGGAAAGCTTTACTTACTCAAGATTTACAATATTATATTGAAAACTGGTACCGTTCCGTGCCAATGGCGTGACATTAGAGTAATTGCAATTCCAAAATCAGGTGGAGGTACAAATATCAATAATAACAAACCAAGACCTATATCATTGATTTCTTGCACTTGCAAAATTTTTCATGCCATGATAGGTAAAAGATTGGAGTGGTACATTGAAAGGAAGCAGATTCTATCACCATATACAACGGGCTTTAGGAGAGGGCAATCCTGTCTAGATTGCTTAACGCGCTTGGTAACTCAAATTCAGATAGGCTTTTCAATTAATTGTCCCACTCTCGCTAAAGTGCATACAACAATATTTCAATAGCAAAGTTATTATCCATTCTCGATAAACTTAATGTAGGTAAAGGGATATGTAATTATTTATGGAACTTTTTAAGTGAGCGTCATCTCAAAATCTCTGATGAGTCTGCGGGGGGAACTGATGTGATCAGATATACAGGAAAAGGATTAGCGCAAGGTGACCCTATGTCACCGCTACTTTTTAATATAGCGACTTACAAATTTTGTCGGGAAATCATTGATGTGTTTACGTGTCAGTATGCTGATGACTTTGTACTGTATACAACATATAATAATATTTTAGACGGAAGGAATAAAATTCAAAACGCACTATATGTTTTTGTGGCTCTATTAGACGATTTAGGGTTGGAGATATCTACTAGTAAATCCAAATATTGTATTTTTAGCAGAGGATTTAGAAAACAAAGAATTCAGCTTTTGGTTAATAATTGTGAAATTGATTCAGTGCCAACTTACAAATACTTGGGAGTTTGGCTGGATAGGACATTACGCTGGGGTAAACACATCAATGAAATCGTGGAAAAGGTTCAGAAACTTATTAATATACTTAAAATTCTTACTGGCCCATCCTGGGGTGTACATCAGATACATTTACGTAGGCTATATATTTCTTTAATTAGAAGCAGACTCGACTATGGATGTTTTCTGTATGATAGTAGTGCGGAGTCAAATATCTACAAGCTTGCTAAAGTACAGAATCAAGCCTTAAGGGTAGTGGGAGGTTTCATAAGAAGCACTCCCATTCATGTTATGGAATGCGAGCTCTGTGTTCCTCCACTGCATCTAAGAAGAAGGTGGTTAGCTGTCAAATATTGTTTGAAGTCGCGATCATTGTCAAATAATGTAACAATCAACCTCTTGTCAGAACTTGGCGCTCTTAAACACAGCAGATATTGGTCAAACAAGAAGCTCCCGCTACTTGTTAGTGTTTTTGAAGATGTAAAAGAAGAGAATATGAACTCATCTCCGATTCTAGAAATGTTTAGTCTAGATACATGGGTCAGTAACATTAATACTGAAAATATTATTAAGGTTAACTTGGAGTCAATTACAAAACCAAAAAAAGCGTACGAATATAATTTAATAAAAACTGAAACGCTAAAAGAGTTAAGGGAAAAATATGTAGGATATTATATTGTTTACACTGATGGGTCTAAGAGCGCCAAGGGAAATGGTGCGGCTTACTACGATCCTCTAAAACCGGAAAACAACAACAATAGTTGTTTCAAAATAATTAACGCTGTATCAGTTATGTCTTTGGAACTCTTTGCAATCTCAGAAGCACTTATTTACATTCAAAATAATGACAAAAGAAAAGCTGTGATTTGTGTTGACAGCAAAAGTGCACTACAACATATAGCTCGCTGCGCCTCTGGTTACAGAGGTGCATCGATAGCTTATGGTATCCTTTCTAAGATACAAAATTTAACCAGCAATGGGTTTGATCTGAGATTGCAATGGGTTCCTTCACATATAGGCTTACATGGTAATGAGGAGGCAGACCGGTTGGCAAAATTGGGAATTGATGAGGGAAAGGAGGTAAATATTGGAACATACTACGTAGAATTATTACCAAATTACAAAAACAAATGCTATGAACTTTGGAAAGAATATTTTAATGAAAGGTCCAAGAATAAAGGAATATGGTATAGATCAATGGTATCGGAGCCTCCTCATGTACCATGGTTTTACAACACCAGGTTATCCAGGCGGCTGGTGGTGACCGCGCACAGACTGCGATCTGGACACATGCCCCTCAATAAGTTTGGGTTTCTAATGAAAAAGACCGACTCACCAAATTGTGATGTATGTGGAACACCGGAAGACGTTATACACTTGTTGTGGGAGTGTGCCAGATTTCAGTCGAACCGAGTAGAACTATTTAAGGATCTAAACTTGAATATGTATGATGTAGGTGTATTTCATTGCCTTTTATCTACACCTAATTCGGAGGCTGCCTCCAAAGTATTTATGTTTGTTAGATTACGTTTTAGTTAGATTATACCTCTATAATTATATTAGTATATAAGGTATGATGGGACTGGCGTACACGTCCGTGTAAAAGTCCCTAATAATAAATAAAGAGAAAAAAAAAAAAAAAAACAGTTTTGTAGATAAGTAGGTAGGGAGTGTGTAAATAACTGTAAATACGATGCAATTGTTGTAAAAAAGATAATTAACTTAAAATACGCTAAGTTACAGTTTATGGTTATTTGATATTAATTAAAATTAAACTGTTAACACCGCGCGGTCACTGGTGACCGCAACCTATTGTTCTTTATTTGTGTCTATAATGACGGTACTCAACGAGTTAAACTCAATAAAAAATACGATTCTTACGCTAACTTGACAGTCCAAAGCCTGTTTTTAGTGTGATGGGGAATTTATCACTTTATTTACCTACATCAGTTTTTTTGGAAGTAATTGCACTTTTAAAACACTTGTTAATTGTTTTCATTGACTAAGCGACGCATCGCGCGTAATTTGTGAACCACATCATGCAGAATGTAGTCAATGTTTACTTATTTACTTTATATTCTCAAATTGAATTAGCTGGTCCGGGGTATGAAATTTCTTCACTATTGTAATCTGTAAATACAAATACTACCTTGGAAGATAATTATATAGCACCCTATATATATAATAAATCTAAACTACCTAATAATTCGGAGTCGCGCAGAACCTAACGGGTTACCGGGGCTCCAACTCGACGTGCAGGAGAAGGAACGGGGTGGTTTTTAGTCAGTAAGAGTCTGACGCTCCTTCCCGCCTCACTCAGGCGGGAGCAGTCATTCGATGATTTTCTCACAGAAAACCGACGTGAAGCAACGCTTGCGTTGTGTTTCGTCGTGTGAGTGAGGTTACCGGAGGCCCAATTACCCTCCGCTTCCCCAATCTCTCCAATCCTTAAATCTCCAACGATCAAACTGCTAATCCCTAAAAGGCCGGTAACGCTCTTGTAACGCCTCTGGTGTTCCAGGTGGGCGACGCCGATTGCTTACCATCAGGTAATCCGTCTGCTCGTTTACCGGCTTATACCATAAAAAAACATAATAAAATTTAAAATTACAGGCATGGAGACATAACTAGGCTCCGTGGTGGACCTCAAACCAGACGTAAAGCAAAACGTTTGTGGCGGGAACTAACTCTGACATTGAACGCAGTTGATAATGTAAGACAGAAGAGCCCGGATAAATGGAAAAAGGTAATCTGGTCATCGTCACTACATAGTATAAAACAAAGTCGCTATCCGCCGTCTGTCTGTCCCTATGTATGCTTAGATCTTTGAAACTACGCAACGGATTTTGATGCGATTTTTTTTTAATAGAGTGATTCTTAAGGAAGGTTTATACTATATATTTTTAATGTCGTTTTATAAGACAATTATAGTGAGAATCTTCAAAAAAATATACGTTGTGTTGCTCTGAAAAAACAAAGTTTTATTTTAACATGAATTAACAACTTTTTAACCATTAAAATAATAGAAATCAGGTTTACAATTCTACCTGAAAAAACAAAGAAACGACATTAAAAGTTTATTATTTCAGTTGTCGATTACTCTTCCACCAAAGTATAATAATTTATTGTTTACATTCACTATCGCCTTTACAAAATCACACCTCTGCTTTATCCACAATACACCCCCATGACACTGGTATTGACAATAACGCCATCCAATGACAATGAAGGTAAAACAGGAACTTTTTTATCCACAGACAAAATAGCATAAAGAAATCTAATTTCTTTATATGTATAATACATGCATATTGCACCCCTGCAATGCCGGAGTGTCTTATAATAGATAGCGGATTGCTTTTTTAAACGACTTCAAAAATATAAGTAGATATGTATGTATGTTTGTGCGCGATTATCTCTTGTTTGCCTGAACCGATTTTGATGCGGTTTTCAGAAAAGTGTTTGTTAGACTTGGGAGAAGATTTTAGTAACTATATTAAGTGTGGGAGAGCCATGTTTCGGCACTGCTGGGCCGGCTCGACCGGAGTGATACCACGGCCGAGTAGAAAAGCGACGTGAAGCAACGCTTGCGTTGTGTTTCGTCGTGTGAGTGAGGTTACCGGAGGCCCAATTACCCCCCTCCTCAATCTCCCCAATCAGGAATCCCCAAAAGGTCGGTAACGGGTGTCCATGGGCGACGCCGATAGCTTACCATCAGGTGATCCGTCTGCTAGTTTACCGGCTTATCCCATCATTTTTATATTAATCGACTTCAAAAAAGGGGGGTGAAGTAAATTTTTTTAAACGTACTTTAAGGATTATTTAAATTTAATTTTTATCAGGTCTGGACCGATTGGAAATCAAAAACGAAGAGGAAGGCACGCTCCTTACGGCAAGCCAATGCTGATAGTAGACCGACTGGAGAGTTGATGCTCACGCCATTGGAGAGGAGGATACTGGCGGTGCCCTCACCCTGGGAGATCAAGCAGGAGACCGAGGAGGTATTAGATGAGGAGGAGCTTGAGGAGCAGGAGGATAATGTAAGTTGTTGTACACCATCCATAATTCTATACTTTTTTATCATAACATCACGCCTTTTATTCCCGAGAGGTTAGGCAGAGGTGCACATTACGGCACTTAATGCCGACACCTCTGCCTAACCCTTCGGGGTAAAAAAAAAAATACGTGTATAATAGGACAATGATGTTATGTCCAACTTTATTTTAGTATTTTTCCAGCATTTTTTAAACAAATAACTATGCTGTTTGACGCTAAAAAAACGTGACGTCACAATACACAATCTCGTACAAAATTCGTAGAAAACTATCGTTTTTGACAGTTCGAAAAAAGTATTGAATTTGACTAGTTGGCAAGTAAGTACACAATTTAATTATGTTTCTTTTGTTCCAGAGTCCACAACATTCGGTGACTGCAAAACAGTCTGATGAAGAACTGTCAGCTTCCGAAGATGCAGCATCAGGTGCGTACATCTTGTTTTTTATACCTCTAGTATAAGCCAGTTTATAAGCAGATAGATAACCTGATGGTAAGCAATCGGCACTGCCCATGGACACCTGGAACATCAGAGGCGTTACAATTGCGACGAACAACTGCCTCGTTGGCCGAGTGGTCGCAAGTTCAACAGCCGGGCAGGGATCTCGGGTTCGATTCCCGTGTCGGGCAAAGTATTAATGGGTTTAAAAAAGCACGGAGTCTGGAATTGTGCCCGGTATATGGCAATAGGCTCACCCTCTATTACATGGGACTTATAACATAAATAGTGAAAAGTGAGTGGTATACATTGTACAGTGGCATTAAGTGCAGTAGGTAATGTGCACCTCTGCCTATCCCTTTGCGGATAAAAAGGCGTGATGTTATGTTATGTTATGTAAAAAAACGTTTACTATTATTTTTATTGGACATTCAACTCTATTTACTCTTTGTAGAGTTGCAAATGAAAATTGTCTGTACATTTAACTCAAAAAATATTCCTTTTACACAGATATGGACCAAACAGAATCACCAACAGATGTAAAACCACCCACACATAGCCGATCGACAACAAAATCGACAAGAACTCTATACAATATGAGATCTCGCCTAAAATCAGATCCGTCCACAAGATCACCTGGAAAATCAAATACAGGTCTAGAAAAAGTACTGGATCAGTTCGCTTCTATAGAGTTGAGGCGTCTACAAGCCGAGGAGGAGAGAAATAGACTGCAACATGAGAGGGAGACCCGATGGATCGAAGTGGAGAGTGAGAGGAATGACCTATTGAGATCTCTTGTGAATATCGCGAGATCCTGGTTAGATTTTCACACGGATCCCTTGAATAATAGTTAGTTAGATTTTTTTTAATATTTTTAGATTTTTTTTATAAGGATACCGGTAAACGGGCTGACGGATCATCTGATGGTAAGCTATCAGCGTCGCCCATGGATACTCGGAACACCAGGGGTATTACAAGTACCCTTTGAGGTTTAGGAATTTGAGGAGTGTTGGGGAATCTAAGATTGGGGAGATATTTAATTCGGCCTAAAACAACATAAGCGTTATTTCACGTGGGTTTTCTGCTCGGCCGTGGTATCAATCCAGTGTCTCCCACACTTAAACCCATGATAATAAGTTTTTAAATACACTTTTTATCAATAATTTATTGCCCAAGGCCTACATAGCCCACGGTTTTTGGCTGCACAATTCGTGCCGTAATTGGACAATTAACTGTCATGCAACGTGTCGCGGGTTCGACAATATTTCGAAAAAAAATGTGTAGGTAATCCACAATTCGTTGTTCCGGGTATGAGTGTCATGTTTGTGTTTTTTTTTTCAAGGCATAAGCCGGTCAACGAGCAGACGGATCACCTGATGGTAAGCAATCGGCGTCGCCCATGGACACCTGGAACACCAGAGGCGTTACAAGTGCGTTACCGGCCTTTTGGGGATTAGGAATTTGAGAATCGTTGGGGATTCAGGAATTGGGGAGGTTGGGGAAGGGGAGGGTAATTGAGCCTCCGATAACCTCACTCACATGACGAAACACAACGCAAGCTTTGCTTCACGTCGGTTTTCTGTGAGGCCGTGGTATCACTCCGGTCGAGCCGGCCCATTCGTGCCGAAGCATGGCTCTCCCACAGTTAAGTGTGAACTTGTATGTTTGTAAACGCACCCATGGTACAGGAGAAAATCCTAGGTACAGCACAATTAAATAAAAATATATTGTATCATGATTTTCAGGGAGTTCCTCTCAAGAAACATGATGGCGAGCTAGCTATGCTCGCCGTCCGCAGGCCTGTGTTTACGGTGGCCGGAGATCGTCTCGCGATCGCCATGTGAAGCTTGTTTGAAATAAACTTTTTGCTGTATTGAAATATTGAGTTTTACTTAACTCGTCGAGTACCGTCATTATAGACACAATTATATAACAATAGGTTGCGGTCACCGGTGACCGCTTGGTGTCTGACAGTTTTGTAACTTTTAGCTAGTGCTGTCGATAACATAGATTAAATTAGTGACGTTGAATAATTGATTTTCGTCGTCTACCTTCAGTACATAGATTTATGTTGAACAACAGCTCATAGTTTGACTGACACAAATCCTGTGGTACAGATTTAATTCTATACCTACAGGCATTGTATTATAACCTACCTAGAATAGTTAAATAATAAGCTTAGATTAAGCATACCTATGTGATTAAAATGGAAATAAATATACAAGGTGTAGTTTTGAAGCCGTGTCATTTCTCGGGGGCATGTCACAGAAGTCATAAAGGTTCAAAGTAAGAGGAAATTGCGGGCCAATAGTTAAAATTACGGCTATAATAAATCGTTTAAGTTCGACAGTATTTCAGAATAACAGCAATGTTTCTTATTGGAGTTTTATGGAATTAGGAATAATATCAATTACGTGTTTGAGTTTGTGTGTGTTAAGCCGCGTTATAAAACTAGTTATAAGACGGCGGCGTGTAGTTCGTACTTACGGATGTTCGTAATTTACAGAAAAATGAAAAATATTTACCTACAATTTTTTTATTGATTCGGACTCAGCATCGATATCCGAGTTACCTCCTAGAAAATGACGCGGCTTTAAAACAACACCTTGTATTTGTTTGTTTGTTTTGTTTGACTACTGTTGAAATTTTGTATCTAGATTAAACAATAATATTGTTAAATAAAATTGATTAAAAAAGTAATTTGTTTCTTTTATAATGACAACTGCATTTATTTCACCCGCCTCTGGAATTAACACGTTCGCGGACGCGCCGGTTATGACAGTCATTAGGAACTTGCGCAGAATGACGCGCCGGCTATACCCTTCGATATTTTTTTGTGCTCTAGAAGCACAACTGCTTTAGCAGACGAATTTCCATACTGCTACCATATAGTTCATCATCTAGTGCCCCCAAATTAAATTATTCGAATTGCTAGGTGTCACGTAACATGTCTTTTTACCGCTTCCAACGTACTACTACTTGGAACATTTGTGTGCGCACTCACACTGACGCAGCGGTCATAGCAGCGGCCATTGTATGAGAATTTGTTCCGTTGGCTGCGGAGTGCACCACGGACTGCACACGTCAGGAACGTGATTTACGCGCGGTTTTTGACCAATATTTATGGTAAGTAGAATTGATTTTTATGATTAAATAATTAGATTACCTATATTAGTAATATTTAAATGAAACGTAGGTACTTTAGAACATAATAATGTATATAAATACAAAT